TTGTATGTTGATTGGTGTAGCAAGGATACGTACCCGGGCTTCATATATACAAATATTCTCAATACCAAATTTATTATGGTATTTGTTGAATTTTCAGTAACACGGTATACCTATGACTATAAAATTGTTTTAATAGATTTTAAAACATAGTTACATGTCGATGATCGGACCTTACAGTACATTCCAAAGCATCCAGCAAATAAAGAATGACAATCATTACATTTGAATGCAAAAGTTGAAAATGAAACGATACCCTCGCAGCAAGACAGTGCTAAGCCAATAAGGCGAGCCATCCTCCACAAATAACTGTGTATATAATGTGCTTCGAACGGGCTCGCCAAAAAAGAGAGATAACCCCGAGACTTGAAGCGCCAGGAGTCAGGGCCTGGGACAATCTTGCTGTAGTTTCACGATCTTGGAAAAGTTAGATTTGAGCTGGAGTTAAGAGGTGTGGACGCCCCCGAGGAGCGACCCGGGTATATAATGCATAATTACCAGAGTTGAGCGCAAAATAAATTCAAAGTTCAAAGTTTTGTCTTTCACGGCGTCACATGGAAAAAGCATCAGTTGGAATTAAAAACATTTAATGCAAAAGGAATTAAAACTTGGGTTATAAATCTTTGATGAAGTTTCCCTTAGTTCCTAATGAAAAATCCTTCTTGAATTATGATTAGACATTAAAAAACTTTGACCAAAACTCCTTACTTACAAACTTTGGCCTTCATTTTTCCTTCGCTTCGCTGATATATAATGAATGAAAACAGATGAATTAAAGCTTCACTCCCTCTTTCATTTGCCTTCGACATTTTTCCAGATTAGAGCGTCTCGATTCTGTCTGCAGATAACCCGCCTCGGATCTCGAGGAACCCGCTATTTGGGCTCCCGCTAATACGTAGTCTCGAGGCCTCCGGTCGGCGTACACACGGGCTGTCTCCAAACCTCATACGACCGCTGATTCTGCCTACGATCCGGCGCAGAGCAAATCATCAAAAAATGTTGAGCTCCTCGACACTCAGCCCTCGGATAATGTTAAATGTGACACTCTGCTCGGTACGAGTGATAATTCAGAAAATTCGGGCCAAGTTTCCTCATTACCAAGTCAGATACGAATGGTCTTGTTTCCTCGGGATATGAAGGGGGCGAGGCGGGAGGGCAAGGGGGGTTAGAGAAGTTGTGTGCGTGTGTGCGCGCGCGTGTGGAAGGGGGAGGGGGAGGGAAGAGAGAGAGAGAGAGAGAGGGAGGTACTGCTGCTTTGCCTCCCCACCCCACCCCTCGCCCCCTCCCTCCCCTAACCTCTGTTCCGGCTGCTTTCTCCGCCCTCCCTCCCCCGCCACTTCTCCGAACCTCCCCACCGCCACATGCGGAGGTATTATATCTTTTGTTTTAGAGATTGTTAATAAAATAAACTAGGAGTTTCGAGACGTTATGGAGTTAGCGCGGAGGGTGAGGGATGAGACGAGGTCGGATGGGTCGGGGGGGAGGGGGGAGTGGGGATAAGCATGGCTTTATCTTTTATTGCTTTTCGAGGCGGCGAGAAAATTTCCAGCGACGCGCGTCTTTTATGAGGCATGATTTCTTTCACGAGGGATTTTTTATGTTTCTCATCGAAGTATTAATTATCATGCTACAATTATCGAGACGTTGCTAATGAATTTCACGGTAATAATCTATAACGTTGAATGACTGCAAGATGGAAATAACACAAAATCAGTAACTAGTGATAAAATAAATATGTTGCTACTGAAACTGTTACATTCGTATGTTCAAATTTCTCTTATATCAGTTATAAACAATATACTCTTTTAATACATCATATAGTTTTAATTCTATATTTTTACTTGTAAAAGAAAGTGCACCACTCCAAACAATTTCAATATAATAATGAATATCACAGACAGACACACAGACAGACACTCATACACACATAAACACATACTGATACACAAACAAAAACATAAACACACACAAAAAAAGGAAAAATAATAAAATAATTCAAAACCCACTCGATCTAAGCCATTCTACCAACGTTCTGGAACATCGCAACGAACCTGCACACTCACATCCTCGAACAAGAACTCGAGGACGACCATCAGGGGACAAAAGTGGCTTTTCCTACCGTGCCATCCAAGCAGTGTCCCAAGCCCAGCCCGGACGCCAACTTTCCATTTTCCAGCGGTTTTTCCAGCCAGTGCCCTTAGGAAGTATTGGGGCCCACCAAATGGAGCGGTCGTTCTCCGCTCATATAAATGTCTCCTTGAATGATCGTTTGTGCGACCTCACAGGAAACGAGCCGACGCTGAGGACGAGGGGACAGGCTAAGGGGAATATGGACGAAGGTAGGGGAGGAAGAGGGGAGGAGGGAGGATAGAGGAGAGGGGAACGGGAGGGGGGAGGAGGGAGGAGGGAGGAGGGAGGAGGGAGGAGGGAGGAGGGAGGAGGAGAGGAGGAGGGAGGGGGGACGATGAAGACCCCATACTGACCGGCGGAGGGAAGTCAAGACGCCCTCATCACTTGATTCTATTTTTCCCGGTTTTATATTTACGAGCGAGGGGCAGAGAAGGGAGAGAGTGATAGTGGGAATAAAGGAGAGAGAGAGAGAGAGAGAGAGAGAGAGAGAGAGAGAGAGAGAGAGAGAGAGAGAGAGAGAGAGAGAGAGAGAGAGAGAGAGAGAGAGCGCAACAGAGAGAGAGAGAGAGAGAGCGCAACAGAGAGAGAGAGAGAGAGAGAGAGAGAGAGAGAGAGAGAGAGAGAGAGAGAGAGAGAGAGAGAGAGAGAGAGAGAGAGAGAGAGAGAGAGAGAGAGAGAGAGAGAGAGAGAGAGAGAGAGAGAGAGAGAGAGAGAGAGAGAGAGAGAGAGAGAGAGATGGGAACAGAAAAGGGAAAAGAGAAAGAGAATCTCCAGAGCTGATGCTAATATCCCCGAAGCTGATCAAGAAACAAGCAAACAATATCGGCTTGGAGATTTTCCAGCGAATGAATTTGGCGCCGATGACTTCCGTAAGCATCTGGTCCAATAATGAGATGAAGCAAAACAGAGGAAAAGGAGGAGAAGAGATGAGGAGGCAGACTTTTGGAAACCAGTAAACGCCGAAAGTTTGGGTTCCAATGTTCTTGATTGATCCAGTGGAAAATTGGTAGAATAATACCGACCGCGAGAAATTAACGCGTCCGCCCGGAAACTTAGGGAGATAAACCCTTCAAATTCATATGAATATTAAACAGGCCAGGTCGCAGTGATGGGGGGTGAGGGGTGGGTGTATTCAAGAGGGAGGGGAAGGGGTCTTTTGGTAGAGAGAGGGGGGGGAGGTATTCAAGAGGGAGGGGGAGGAGGCCTTTTGGTGGAGGGGAGGGGGTACTATATTGGGGGGGATAAGGAGGAGGCTTAAGTTTGGGGGGGAGGGGGGGAAAGATAGAGGGGAAGAAGGCAAATCTCACCCGCTCCATACGTCAAGGTCTATCAATTAATTTCATATAAAATGTGATCGTTTGTGTATCGTGCTTAATTGGCAAGAGGAAGGCTGACGTCCGATACTCCGGGGTGATTAATTATGCAGGAATAAATGATGTGTTGTGCATCATATACAGGAGGATGTTGTGGGCTCTGTGCATATGTGGGTCGGAAGAAGGGAGAAACGGAGAAAGAAAGGGGAGGAAAGGGAGAAGGAAACATCCATACAAAGGGAGAAAAAGAAAGAGAGAGAGGGTCATTAAGAGAGGAGGGAAGAAGATAAGAAAGAGAGAAGGACAGAGAGAGAGAAAGAAAGAGAGAAAGATTGAAAGCGAGAACGAACGAGAGGGAGAGAGAGAGAGAGAGAGAGAGAGAGAGAGAGAGAGAGAGAGAGAGAGAGAGAGAGAGAGAGAGAGAGAGAGAGAGAGAGAGAGAGAGAGAGATGAAATGTTAAGTAAGTAGTAAATAATAAATGAATGAATAAATAAACAAATGAATAAATTATATATATATACATACATGCATATATATATATATATATATATATATATATATAGAGAGAGAGAGAGAGAGAGAGAGAGAGAGAGAGAGAGAGAGAGAGAGAGAGAGAGAGAGAGAGAGAGAGAGCGAAAGAGAGAGAATAAGAAATGCAAGAGAAGGAAAACGTTAGAGCAAAAAATGAGACGGTACAGGGCACTTAGCTGCGGTCACTAGTCGGGCTTATAATGGAGTTGGATGCGACTGTTATGGGCGCTGTATAAAGGGGGCACCGCAGCCAGATGGTGTTTCACGCTACATAAACGGAAAATCTACGGCACTGCATGCTGTACACTCTTGTGCCACCAAGAGGGAAAAAACTCCTGCGTGGGGGTGAAACAGGGAGGGATGGGAAGGGGGAGAGGAGGGGGGAGAGGATAAAGTGGAAGGTCAGGAAAGGAGAAAAAATGTATTAAAACGGTGGAAAAGAATACGAAGGCGCTTCGACCCTCTTTTTTCGACTTTCCCCTCTGAAGAATGGGAAGGTTATAGCCTTATTAGGTGCAGGATGTTGGTCTTGTTCTTGCCTTTGAATATTGGCTTGTAAATTCTTGTTAACACTAGTTTGCCGTTGAATTTATTGCAAATTGTTTGAAGTGTGACGTCGTGTTATAGGAACGTCTGTCTGCAATAAGCCTCCGATTATTTGCTGTGTTCAATCATGTAGTGGTTGATAATTCGTTATGTCCGGTTATTTATAGGATTACTGGTCACCATATTTCCGGTCTCGCTGCTCCGCCAACATGTCAGTCAGGAGACGCTTTGTTTTCTTCGCCCTATGTTTGTTCTCGCGGTTGTTTCCACGGTTGTCACCGGTCCGAATTCCCTGGTTAATGCCAAAGACAGGAAATGTTTGGAGAAGAATTACATAGATTAAACTACTTTTATGTGTAGCAACTTATAGGCGACATGTCTAGGAGTGTGTAACTGCAAACTACTTTCTAGTTCTGTTTTCGAACGAACTAATGTTTCTTTATATTGAACCTTGCTAATTTTACCATGTATGTTTCCTGCAGGTACGGTGCCGGCTACGACCTCGCCGCCCGCAGGAAGAACGCCACCAGGGAGTCCACAGCGACGCTGAAGGCGTGGCTGAACGAGCACAAGAAGAACCCTTACCCGACCAAGGGCGAGAAGATCATGCTGGCGATCATCACCAAGATGACTCTGACGCAGGTAAGTCTAGCCAGAAATGCGGCATGGAAAGAGCGACTATGGCTGTGGCGCACTTAATGGATTTCATCGCTCTAGGCACATGGCGGAAATACTTTTTTGATGAATGTGATGACTATGTGGATCATCGCGGTAATGATCCACACACATGTAGCATGTGGCTGTAAAAGGTAATCAGCGCGGGGTAGAGTATCATTATCAAAATGGTCGTCAGTGTCTGCGTTGATGTCTTAATGGTGAATGTTGCCGGTTTGTCACTGATAACAATACTAATGGTTCCTTAGCCGAAACATGAAGCCATTTCTTGCAGTTATCACAAGCATTACCGATTTCTCGCCACTATTATGAAATTGTGTTTTATATTCAGTGCCTGTCCTCTTATCCATCATGTTACATGGTCTGGTCTCTTTGGCACAGGTATCCACGTGGTTTGCAAATGCTCGCCGTCGCTTAAAGAAAGAGAACAAGATGACTTGGGAACCCAGGAACAAAACAGACGACGATGACGCTAAGTTGTCTGATGACGAGGACGACGAGAAGGAACCCGGAGACAAGGAAGACGATGATATCAAGAAGGACGACAAGGATGGCGACGCTACGA